AAGGAACATCAAGATGCAAGTTTTATACCTTCTGGAAATTGGTGATGAAGTGCAAAGTCTGGATCTACAAAGCTTGGAGCTCACACTTGCTTCTCCAATGGACTCTTTCTTCAGGAATGCACCCAAAAATCACACTAATGCTTCCACAACTTACAATTAGTGGCTAGGGTTTCAAAGGAATGATTTGAGGTGATGGATGCTAGTAATGGGAAGGGTTCCAAGAAGATAGAGCCCTTGAATAGAGCCCAAAGCCTTAGAATTAGGGTTTTGGTCAGCAGCAGTTACGCCATGTGTAGCCCATTAGAAATGCAATTCACATTCAACAACCTATGCCCTACGTAGCTTGACTATTCCCTGTGTAAGGAAAACCCCCAAGCTTCCAATTTAACATCAAAAAACCATAACTTCTTCTTTTCAACTCCATTTTCGGCGTTCTTTATATGCACGGAAAGGTATCGAAGAGCCCCACATTCTTATATAGTTATTTTTGACTAAAAAAATATCGAACTAAAATCCTTAATCCATGCAAGAAGCCCGATATATCACCTGCCTAATTTTACCCTTTGCTTCAAGGCACTAATTGATGGCTTTAATCACTTGATCCAACATTACCAATATCTGAAAATGGCTTAAACCCTATTCCCTTGAATCCCAATACCATCACTTGATCAAATTCCAACTCGACGTCTCGAAATTAGAACATCACTAAAACCAGTTGTTACACAAGGAATAGACAAACACTAGGTTAGAAAGTTATACCGAGGAATGGACCCCTGATATTGATCTCTGATGCCTAACTTAGATTCCATTTTAGAGTGATGAAGTAAAATTGCTAGGAATTTCTTACCCTTTAGGAAGGATCGAGCTTCTTTTCATAGTTGGGCTTTTGTCTGGTTCATAATATTTCCATTTGGGTCTTCCTTTAGCCCCAAGGTCACAAGGGTAGGACTTATTAATAAAATAAGTTTGCCTTTTCCGTGTTTCCTGAGATGTTACTTTGTATGCTTTATACGAAAGATCTGTTTTATAAGATGTATGCGGCATGTATGTCATGGTGAGGTGAATACCGACCCGCGTCTTTCATGGGTTGTAACCTTTCTTTAGATCATAGCGCCCGGCCGGCCTGCTTCTATATGGGACGGTGCCCATACCCTATTATGTATTACACTAATATGAAAATCCAATATTCAAGATGTTTTCATTTAAGCATGAGTTTGGTTTTATTTTCGTAATATTTAGGTTAATCATGGATTACACTAAAATAAGAGAGGAATGTTGGTAATGTGTCATCAAACCATTTGGTATAATCAAAGATTAATTTGAGACTAGATGTGTTCAACTTTAGGTATAATGTAATTTTGGAGGTGAATGTGCGTTCAAATAAGTTTAAATGATCTCAAGAACGTAAGGTCAATGGGAGCCGTCCTTGCGAGGTGCAAGATAGCACCCCTACCCGAAACTAGATCTTATGCAACGGATATATGTGTTAGGTAGTTCCCGACAAAACAACCAACACAACAATTTTTCGCTCCAAATTCTTAACCAAAAATAGCTACTATTTTCTTTTTGTATTCAAGATTTTGATTGTTACGCTTGCATAAACAATATTCTTTTAAAATTACTCTACAAAATTTTATGTTTCAAAGAACATCAAACAAATTAAGGTATTTTGTGTTTGAATTTTGGATTTTGCCTAAAATCCATATTGTATTTCTCTCTTAGGTTTCTAAATTTTGAAAAGTGTTTCACACACGATCCTTAAAGTTGTTATTGATATTATGTCCAATTTTCTAACACAAGATCCTTAAATAACAAAGCTGTTATTGATATTATGTCCAATTTTCTAAGATTATGGTGCTACATCATTCAACGACTGAAACCTACAAACAATGTTTATCATTCTAAAAAAATAGTTTAAAATACTATCAAGTATCATCTAACAACATAAAGGCCGGTTTCAATAGCAAAATAATTAACGATATGATAATTTTGGCAACGTTGGATCTTTTTATAAAGAAAGATGCTACGAATTCCGTTTTATTTTATTTTTAGATAGAATCAAATCTTCTTTTTAATTAGATAAACATTACTCAAAAGATCACCAATAAAAATAACATTGTGAAAATAAAATATATATATGAAAAAAAATCCCAACCATATGCCGTATCGGATGGCCGGCATTTTTGCTAACTTGTTTTTATTTTTATTCTCTTAACTAATTATTTTTTATTTTATTTGTTTTTAGTTAGATTAAGTAATCAATATTCATAGTTTATGAAGAGATTCTAAGGGTGATTAGTAAACTCAAAGTCAAAGTAACAAATATTGATGAAGACTCCGGTCAACTTTTGCCTTCTCATAGAATATAAATAAGGATAAATATGTCACTTTCAACATTATTAACATTTCCATTTTTTTACGAGAAAGTTCAGTCGATTCTGAAAAAAAAATTACCTTATAACTCCTTTGGTTAAAAATCATTAGTTTACTAATAACGTTTTAAAAGTTGATCTTTTATATTTTGTATTTTTTCGGTTTAAATCTTTTTTTGTTTGTTTGTTTAAAAAGAATCTTGTATTTTTTCATTTTTTTTAAAAAAAAAAAAAAAAAAAAAAAAAAAAAAAAAAAAATCAACATTATAAATGCTTCCAAATAAACCTTCAATTTTTTTTTAGATTTTTTCGAAAAAAAACTCTCACATTTTACAATTTCTTTTTGAAAAAAAAAAAGAATAAAAGGGTCAAATCATAAAAAAATTAAAAAATATAAAAAAAAAAATTCAAATAAAAACAAATTTTAGATTTAATCTAAAAAAGCACAAAATATAAAGTCTTTTATTAAATTAACCATTTTAAAATCTATAATATTAATTTAGGGATTATGTATTTGAAGAAAATAACTTGAAAATTTTGTTTTTAGCAAAAAAAAAACACTTGGTTCGGAATCAAGAAAAAACATTTTTGCTAACAAAAAAATACATTTCGGACTAACATTCCAGATTTCAGATTGAAATTTCGGATTAAAGAAAATACTGAAATTTCAAAAATAAGTTTGAAATCCGATTAACAATTTTCCGAATTTCGAGTTAAAAATCGTTTTTGACATAAATCTAACAAAAGGTAAACAAACATAGTAATGTACCTATATATGATCATAGTGCATAAAATCAAACATTTTATTGAAAAATGATGACACTAAACACTTCAAAATTGACATTTCGAACATAAGGGGATTTTTTTTTTTTTTAAAAGTAAACTACACGAATGGTCCCTATGGTTTTTGGGATAATTTGTGCGTTTGGTCCCTAATTTGTTTTTTTAACTCGGGAGGTCTCTACTGTTTGTTTTTGTTACGTGTTTGGTCCCTATTATTTGTTTTTGTTACATGTTTGGTCTCTGTCTTACCTAAAAAGATAGTATTTAAATAGAGAAAAATTGTGGGGTGGTATTGAGGCTATGTTTATTTAAATAAATTAAAAAATTAATGGCAAAATAGTCTTTTTAAGTAAAACAGAGACCAAATGCGTAACAAAAAACAAACAGTAAGGACCTTCCGATTTAAAAAAATAAGTTAGGGACCAAACACGTAAATTACCCTAAACCATAGGGACCACTTATGTGATTTACTCTATTAAAAAAATCCAAAAAAACCAAAAACCAAAAAAATAACTTCCAAATTTGAAAATCAAATCTGGAATGGAGCATTCTTAAAAAAAATAATAATAAAAAATTTTAAAAATAAAAAATCTTTGGAATATAAGTAGTAGTCTGAAATGATGCATTTGGAAGATAATGATTATTTTTTAAAAAGTAAAAAATTTAAAAAAAACAAAAAACAAATTGTTATTTTCTTTGAAAAGTTCATTTATATGGGTTAGATTGGGGATGAGCTTTAGAATCGCTGGAATATGAACCAGACCGGATTTAATAACAAGGCTTTGTTATCGGTTATCCACTTTTAGAAAAGTTGGTCCCCGTGCAGTTCTACAAAACTCGGTTAAAAAACCAAAACCAAAGCGAAATTTGTCTCACTTTTTAAAATGTGTATAACTTACATATATAAAGTCGGAATTACTTGATTTTTTCCACTATGTAATTTGGTATTTGTACTTTATTTTAGATTGTACTGACACATATTTTGGTTAATATTGAATCAGCTACGTGTCCCGGAAGACAGCATATCAATGTTGCCGTATTGCGTATTTTCTGTTTCAATACTTATTTTTTTTAACTCACTCTCATATGAAATCGGAATTACATGTTTTATGGTTAAAACTTGGTCATTTGAATTTTATTAAACTTAGTTTTTCAATTTGTGGTGGTTTAAAATGCTTGATTTCGTTTTTAAAATGTATTGCTATTATTGGTTTAATTTTGGTAGTGCATTGTTATTCATGGTTCCAAACCCGGTTATGTTATAAAAAATCACTAAAACCAATTCTAATTATAGACTTGGAATTTTTTACATTTAAATTAATATCGATTTTCATTTACAATATTTAGTCGTGAAAGCACAAGTGATGTGACTGTGAACAAGAAGAGGGAAACCAATTTTATTAAAAACATTATTATTTTTAATATATGTTTTTTAATCAACCACGTCATCTGTCATGTAAAGGAGGAAAGCGAAACAACCGAAAATCAGTACAATAATATTGCTCTAGATTCAAAAAACTATCACTGAAATACGCAAAATGATACAAATATCACCCAAAATGAAGGGTAAAAACTAAAATTTCCCAAAGGAAAAGGACTAATAAAATGAAATATCTTTTTCTCCCATACCTTTCTTCACAATTTACTGAAATGTGTTCCATAACTGTTGGTTGACTATTAACTCAAAAACCTCAAATGTTTCCCAAATATACCCTCCCTTCAACCCAGAAAGAATCCAAGTTTAGAGTGAATATTCTCATTTGTTGGGTCCTTACGAATCTTTGTGTAGATAATAAGCTTTACAACAATGTGAAAAGTGGTTGGACAAATCCAAACCAAACCAAACCAAAGAATCAGAACGAGAATCAAGAATCAAGAATCAAGAATCTCTCTCTCATGATGATGATGATGATGATGTGTAGTTTGAGAAAAGATCTATCATGGTTTCTAGAGTCTCTGGTGTGAATTTTCTTGCAAATAAGTAACATGGCCGATTCATCCCGTTCCATAGGCATGGCATGATCATGGTTTCCTTCTGCATGCATCGATCAAAGAGATGTATGTGATTAGGTTCTATGATTAAAGAAGAGTCACCATGACTATGAGGGGTATAAAAGTAATTACAGAGGTACGTACCCTTTCTTCGCTTGTAACATGAACACTTTCGGTGATGGACTGCAAGAAATGAAAACAATGCAATTGTTATATGTTTTATCAAAGGATTTTGAATCGGTTGGTATTTTATCAAGGAATGGAATTTGTCAAAACTCAAAAAGAATTGGAATCCAAAAGAAGCATAATTTGTCATGTGTTTTTGGTTGACAGAAAAAAGAATGGAATTCAACAACTTCTTTTATTTAGGGCAAGTTACCAAAAAAAAAAAAACATTATGTTTTAGGTAGTTTTCCGGTTTAACCATTAACACTTTATTTTTTCCAATCAAAACCCATAAAAGTTTCATACATTTTTCCAAATTAACCATTTTGACCTCTTATATCAAAGTCAAAATGTCTAAGTTGGAAAAATGTTTTAGACTTATATGGTTTGATTGAAAAAAAAAAAAAAAGTATAAGAGGTTAAGCCGCAAAATTACACAAAATATAATGGTTTTTCTCTAATTTTCATTTCATCATATATACCAAGGGTATTTTAGTCTTTTAATAAAAAAAATTCCAAATTGAATTCTTCCACCCTTCCTTAAGAATGGTGTAATTCATCAGACATATTTTGAAACAGAACTGAATTCCATCCATTTGGCAACCAAACACACTACATAGAATGGAATCACGAATTCCAATTCCAATTCCAATTCCATCAAAAGTCTAACTGTGGAACATACCGTAAGATTTTTTAGGAGCTGTTCAGAAACATCCTTCTCCCCATAAGATTTTGGATGCCATTTTCCTTCTGACCAATCAACATGTGTCACTGACCAATTTGCAATTCCATTCGGATCATGCATCTGAACGTTTTATTTAAAAAAAAATCATAAATTTTATGAAACCCATGAAAAGAAGGTCACGAGGGGTAAAAATGGAATTTGCAAATGTTCTCACATGGAAAAAGGTTGGCAAGTAGTGTTCATCAGAATAGCAATTCCGTTGTCCATCCATGCCAGGCTGTAAGACAAAAGAAAAAACATAAATGAAGCAAAAATTAAATAAATAATAATCTTGAAAAAAATAAAAATACACCCACCCTGCAATAATCTCTGAACTTTGCATAATAAAGATAATCAGCCATGATTATAACTGCATGTTGTCTCTTCATTGTAAACCACTGCACAAAATTTAACATTAAAAAAATTCTATAAAAAGAAAAATTAATCTGCCTACCCGTTTTTTAATGATTTTATCAATTTGAAATATATTATAGCATATGTTATTTCAGTCTTGTAATGTGTGACACATCTAAAGATTTATAAATCTATAGATCTAGAAACACATTTAAAGATTTATAAAATACCTGAGCACCCTTTCTAAAATATTTCTTCTCAACTTCAGGTAACATATGTTCAGAGTACCTTCCACTTCCATGTGGGCCAGGGTCCTCAAAACTGGAAAGAACATGTAAAAATGTGATTAAGAATTAACGTTTTTTTTAAAGAATAAATTTAACTATAGTTTCTAATGTAAATTTTATAAGTGTTGTACATACCTGTCAATGAAGCTGATATTTGTGTACATGAGATAATTGTACACATAGTCAAAATCACGCAGAGGTACACAGCTGAAATATAAAAAAGAAAAAATATATATATCAATAACAAAAATCAAAAACCAAGAAAAATGAGCAAATAAGGGAGAGATTGTGACCTATCAGAAAGTAAAACAAAGTGTTGATTATCAGGATCCTTCAATGCATTTGCTAAAAGTCGTTTTTCTGCATCAACCATTGAAATTTTCCCCCAATCTACCTGTCCAAGACATTAATATGATAATTAAGTTCATGTTGTAATCACTATCAAATAAAAGTTATAAATAAAAATAAAAAACAAACCGAGCCACTGCGAATTTCTTTATTGATGAAATAACGACTGGTGTGAACTGGTTTTTCTTTGGATGCGTGAACATGGATTGAAAATCTACCTTCATGGCCCTACATATATTTAAAAAAAAAAAAAAAAAAAGTGTCACTAGATGACATATATGCATATGATGACCAAATGTGTTATATGTTATAAATGATGTTTAAAGAATAATTAAGAAAATGACATCACACATGGGGAAATGGAAGGAGAAATAAATGAGGGGAAATTTGTAAAAAGTTAGGACTTAATGGGAAAAGCCTCATAGCCTTCACTTTTTGAATTAAGCCATTCTTTTTTTCATTAGGTCAATTAGAACAACCATATATATAGGCTAAAAGATTTTGTAATGTCCCCATTATGTCCTTTAAGTGTAAAAGAAACAACACCTTAGTGTTTGTTTTGACGAATGGAATTGAATGAGTTATCACATTCCGATGTTCCATTCCTTACCGAATTCCATTCCTTTCCCCAATTCCATCGCACGAAATATGATCTTACAATTCAAAACGGGAAAAGAATTTTAAATGTATTACATTACATACCTGAAAAAATCTGTCCCACAACTTCTCAAAAGGCAATGATCCAGGGCTCAAGAACATAAAAGCAATCTTGGGATTTTTGGAATGAATTGGAGGGGCATTCAAAATGCTACTAATTACCACACGAGAAGCTATTTCATCATCACTAAATTCTCTTATAGGAGGAGGAAGCCAACTAGAAAACGTCTCACAACCAGAAGAAGAGAAGATATAACAGGCACTAGAAGTTTGAGGTGGATAAATATAAGCAACAACTAAAAACATGCAAACCAATGAAATCAATACAAGTATCCATGTTGGTTTTTTTAATTGGTGACCACGATGACGTGGCGGAGGCAAGATCTGCATGTCTTTCATGCCTAAACGCCACGCCTTTGCTAACTTCATTTAAATTCTATGCATCACACGATTATGTCCACAAAGATTTGACCCTTTTTGACAATGGTCAATAAGCTCAAAGATTTAAAGAAAAAGCCCACCAATTGACTTCAAGATCAAGATTTATATATGAACCTGAAAACAAGAAAATTAGCATTGTCAAATCTGTCAATCTTGAAAACAACAAATTTGAGATTAGAACAACAACAATACAAAGATCCCAATAGAGGAAACCAAAGCTGACACAATTACGAAAAGTATAGATAATGACATATACTACTTACAATACTCGTATACTAAATCTTTAGAATGGATCTCTAAAAATTGCTTCTAAATTCTTGATCCTCGATCTTGAAAAACATGAATCAGATTGAACTAACAAATTCAGACTGGTTTAGAGTGTTGTATTATTAAATTTATGTTAGCTCAATTGGGTATTTGGATATACACACTTTTAACATATCATTCCTTTGAAGCATAAGGTTCAAGAAGATCCTTGAAGCAACAGGAATCTATAAAACGGCAATTCGAGAATTAAAGATAAATGAATACAAAAGAAGATGAAGTGGATCAAAGGGGTAGATGCCTTCGCAACCTAAAAAAGCAAAGCTTATAGAAGGTACAAACTATAAAAGATGGAAGTCAGACCTACCCTTTCTAAGTCAACGAGACCAAATCCAACTCCCAACACAGACATGCGTACATAAACACGAAACATTCATGTCTTCGAATCCCTAATTCCCACACGCAATATACATGTGTTTGTTTGCACACACACATATATGTATATATAAACCAATGTAACACCTGGGTTGAAGCATTGAGCGATAACCCAGAAAAAAAGATCAAATCTTTATGCGAATTTGAAACCTCATTGACCAATGACTATTCAAACGTTTCAAGATGAAATCTAACTAAAATAAATCGGAATTAAAACTCCCAAGAAATTGGGGATTATTCAAAAATCACGTTAAATCAAAAGATACCTGATTCACGCGATATTTTATCTGAATCGACTGTTTCTTTCAAAGTAATCTTCAATGAGAAAAGATCGCTCAATGGACTCTAAGATCTGAAAACAAGTCGAAGAAGAGGGATATCTGTAATTTCGCAAGATGGGTGTGTGTATATATATAATTGGATCAACTTGTGGAATGGGGGGTAAGTCGATTCGTCCCTCTTCTCTCTCTGTCGATATAAAATGTATCTGTATGATTGCTGCTGCGTGTTTTAATAGAGAGTCCAAGCACAATAATATTTCAGCCGGCGATTTTTGGGACAATGGGTTTGGGTCATGTTTGTTCTCTACAAGTTGAAGATAAATACTAGTAATTAATTAACAAGTAAAAAAAAGATTAATCACCCTTCGGAATTTTGACCAAATTGCATTCGATTATGGGTTGCTAAGTCAGATACATGACTTGTCAAAATTCAAGATTCAACGCTTGTTCTTTTCCAATTATTTGATTTAATATTGCTTCATGCATTCAAGTTGTAAGTTTTGCAATTTGAAAGAAACATTCTTAAGGGGCTGTCAACGTTGAAAGAGTCCCGAGTTGCTTCTTTTTAAGTTCTATATTTAGGGTCTTTGGGATGTTGGAAAATTATCCATCAATATAGCCTTTGGATTATCTTGTAAATTACATAAATAATCATTGTGGTTTTAAAATTGGGATAGTTTAGTATTTAATTTTTCTTTAACATAGAATATTTATGCTTTTTTTTTTGTTGTGGTTTTGAAATTTTGATAGTTTACTATTTTGTCCTTGCTAACTTTTCTTTTAATTAATTTAGGTGATGTTTGTTTTTTTTTGGTAAAAATCAATTACTAGCGTCTTATTAACCTTGTGATTCTCTCTGATCCAAGTACGAGTCATGTGTTTCCAGTAGTATAGGTCTCTACTATCTTTCACACATATTCATATTCGTTCCAAGTATTGTCTTGCAGTTCTCCAAGTTACTATTACAAAAACAATTTTAACAAATACAAATGTGTCCAATCAATCATATAATTTTCCTTAGACTCTACGAGGACATCTTCCAAGCGTATCTTCAATCATCAATTCTGCTTCAACTCGTTTGGTGGTGGAAATGTCAAACGAGGGGATAACTTCATGGATTATACCAAAAGTTCTTTCTTTCCACTAATTGAAAGTGTACTTATCCCGTACTAGACATATTATTTATTAGACGCGTTCTAAAGGCAAGATACATTCTTACGATATCTTCTGGTAAGTGTCATTTACTATCGTAAGCCTCCTCATTTCTTTTGTTTACTCAATTCTCTACGAGTATTCACCACGATGTTATGTGTCACGAAAGCATGTGTTCAACATATCGGGACGAGAATATAGATAGAGAAGGTTTAGACGTGTAATACTCCTTATTACTCCAAAAAGTTTCATGCTAGTTCTAATATCGTAATTAAATATTTAGAAATTTGAATACATGAAGTTTCCAGATTTGGTCGACAACAGACCATAGATTCGATTATGGTTACGACATCCCTTTCCATAGTTCGAATTGTGAGATTTGGCAATTAGTCTGAACATTTGGGACTTAGTAACATAAGTTCTGAATTTGTCTAGACACACATGCGAGCTTTCCAAGGCAAAGGTGTATAAGTTTAAGAAGCTTAGATAAAGGCTTATCAAAGCATCAAGTATTATAAATATAAACTTAAGAAATTCAATAAGCATTGTTTTCTGGAAGTTCAGGTGTTTTCTAAATACATATCAAAGCTAGTGGGAACATAAGTGTTATGCTTATATGATAATAATCATCATAATAGTGGGAGCATAAGTGTTATGTTTGTATGATTATTATGGTAAGTATTTCAAGTTAGCAATATTAATTATAGAAAATATAGATTCACTTTGCAAAGTTGTAGGGGTTGAAAAGTTGTTTTGCTATAATTAAGGGAGAGAATATTGTACTTCGTTTCAAAATCTAAAGCTTAGATTGAGAAATTTGAATAAATATAGTCAAAGGATACATAGCGTGTTCTCAAATTTCGATTATGATTACGGCATCCCTCTTCATAGTTCGAATTGTGAGAACGTGACACGTCAAATATTATGGCAGAAGATTGATAAAGTATCATATCTTTATGTAAGACATTATGCATCGTGTCCCATACACATCGGGTATAGGATCATTTGCAAATGCTATAATATTTGATCATTCTAAAATTTTCCAAATACCTAGCACATTAAAAGGGAAATAGGACTAGAGTCGATTTTGACTAAAATAATTATACAAGTTGTAAGGGTATTCTGTGTTGTAATGAGACGAAGTCTTTTGTACTCTTCGTATGGTTTATAATGTATTTTACTAAGGCAGTTTTATTCGAAGCTTAAAGTGTTTAGTCCTTAGTATATTTTTTGTACGCTTTCCTCTCCTATGAATAGGAGTGTTTACTATAGTCATAGAAATGAGTCTTTTACAGAATAGTCATTTTTGTTCTCTGTAAAACTTGAAAGCGTAATAAAGCTGAAGTGAAAAATCTTATTTACATCTGTGTTCTAATCTCACAATCTTAATTTGATCATTAAACTCTGATTCATTTTGTACTTGATTCATTGCTTAATCAATTGGTATCAGAGCAGGAATCATATCTCTGATCTGATTTTCATATTTTCAAAAGTTTTTAAATCAACTTTTTGGTTTAAGAAATTCGCACTTTTTGAAAGTGAAAAATTCATTAGATCTAAGTCTATGATTCGATTCTGCAATTGAATCATTGAATCGAGTATTCTACTAGTGATTCTGGTTTGAATCATATAGTTTGTTGTCAAATTATCAAAGTTTCTTCAAAAAATTTCAAGGTTTTATTCCGTACAACAATGGCGTCTTTCAATCTTAATTCCATGACTTCATTTTCTCATCTTCTAGGATCATCCACCAAAATTCCTATGCTAATCCATGAGTATTACGATCAATGGACTGATTGTATGCATGATTATCTCAACGGATTTGATGAAGAACTGTGGAATTGCATTTCTGATAATCTCAATCAACCAACGAATATTCAACCAATTGGATCATCTTCTGGAAGTTCTGGAGTTGAGAATCAGTCTGGTCGTCTGAAAAAGCTAGAGAAGAGATGCATGAGAGAGCTAAGAGGAGCTTTGCCTCCAGTTGTTTACAACTATGTTAGGAGTTGTACAACTGCAAAGGAAATCTGGAACAATCTCAAGGAAAAATTTAAGGGGGGTGAGAAGATGAAAGTTAACTCTGGGAAGCAATGCTTAGTGGAACTGAAGGATTTCAGACAAAAAGATGGTGAAACGATTGAAGTTTACTACGATCGTCTTAATGAATTAATCTATCGATGCAATCGATATGGAATCACCAGATCAGCCATGGAGTTCAATTTAATTTTTGTTATGGGTCTTCGTAAGGAATGGCGTAATGTGAGCATGATGGTTAAGAATCAACAGAGCTTTGATACGTCAACTTTGAATGACTTGTACAATCAGTTGAAGTCTCATGAAAGCGAAGTGAATGAAATTGCTGAAGAATCAAAGGACAAGTCTGGAAGATCTAAGAAGTTTTTGTTTCAAGCAAGTGAAGTAGAAAGGCATTCAACTTCGCAATATACGAAATTAATTGTTCGTATGAATCATTGCAAGAAGAATAATGAGGGAGACAAGAAGGAGCTGAAAAAGATAATCAACTAGTACACAGAAATACAAAGAGTTATGTTGTATTCAATTCAACTTCTTACAAACTGAAGTCTTCAACTCTGTATACAAAGGGGGAGATTGTAAGGGTATTTTGTTTTGTAATGAGTCGAAGTCTTTTGTACTCTTCGTATGGTTTATAATGTATTTTACTAAGGCAGTTTTATTCGAAGCTTAAAGTGTTTAGTTCTTAGTATATTTTTTGTACGCTTTCCTCTCCTATAAATAGGAGTGTTTACTAGAGTCATAGAAACGAGTTTTTTACAGAATAGTCATTTTTGTTCTCTGTAAAACTTGAAAGCATAATAAAGCTGAAGTGAAATATCTTATTTACATTTGTGTTCTAATCTCACAATCTTACTTTCATCATTAAACTCTGATTCATTTTGTACTTGATTCATTGCTTCATCACAACTATCAAAGGACGATCCAAAGTTCGCTGAGGATTGGTCGCTTATGAGTAGTTGGAAGTATGGTATTGGATGGACCATATCGACATTATTATGAATAGATAAGATTCTATTAAGAACGAGTTGTCATATGGAAAATATGGAAATGTTTCCATATTGGGAGTTTGATATTTAGAGTCTATGTCTAGATTAGAAAATTTTATGCAAGAAGGATGTTCAAAGGAATGTACTTTGAATGTGAGACTTCATGTCTATGGAATTGTCTTGTAACAATTTCCGATAGAGTACTTCGTAATTCTATTGGCCAAGTCTTGGTGACTTTTGTGCTATGACTTTGCGAAAGGATCGTTGCATAAAATGTTAGAATCTAGCATATTCTAGTAGTGGCAAGAACCTTGTGTTCTAACACTAATGATAAGGATTGGGAATTGTGAAATAAGCATCATTGGAAAAGTTTTCAATTGATCTATTTCACAAAGTAAGGACCATAGGAAACATAGTGTGCATGCTTTGTGCATGGGACAGCTATTGTTGTAATTTGAGTAATAGGTTGATTTTCTGAAACAGTAAACGATGAATAATGAGTAATCAATATGGTGTTTAAACAAAAGTGTTTTATTTACTCCCACAAGTTTGGGGCCATATAAGATTAAGTATTATCGTTGTGTTTCACTTTGCATGTTTTGACTTCCAGAATAACTGGGTTATTCGAACCTCCACAGTCGGTCATATGTTGGAAGTAGGTATGAAGGAATACTGTCATGAATCTGTCTGTAGATTGTCTAAAGTGTTTAGACATAGCACAAGTTTGCTGCAGAGTTCATGAGTGCTTTAATAAGATTAGAGTATTGGATTAAACCCACGCTCACTTGAATCACCTCATGGATTTATCACGGGTGATTAGTGAGACGATAACATTGTATATTCTTGAACCCAAGATGTGTGATTTGTATCTTGCGAGTCGGTTACACATTGATAATATGTAAATGCACCAGTAACTTGGTGTTATAAAACGTATTGTTGTGTGTGATTCGGTAAGTGAGTGCAAGCGAGCATTGAGTCGAAGTTTATCCGTTCCTTTTACCCAAAGTGGGATGAAAGCGATATCTGTGGGACCCTCGATGATTGAGTGATGACACCTAAGCGCTTGGCCAAGCCGAGACTAAGTTGATGTGTTCAATTACAGTCTGTTGTCAGTCGTCATAAATCAGAAGTCGGGAAACAATACACAGACAAAGAGAATGATTTAAATCCATGTCTCGTGTCTATACAATATATTGAGAATGGAGGAATATATGATCCCTTATCTAAAGGACACGCTTCTGATAAGATCAGAGTTGACAACGGCTTTTAAAATATATGATTGTTGATCAGGTTCTGAAGTCATAC